ATATAATTGTACAAAGTTTTATTTAAATATTTTGGCATTTTAAAAAAGTAAATCAGAGCTAAAAAAGTGCAAAAACACAAACAAATTTGCCTGCGTTAGTTTATATATATATTAAGAGATAATACTGACTATGATCCAGATTAATTCTAAAACACAACATATAGCTCAGTAATCTATTATATATTCAAACTTGTCTAAATGTTGTATTCCAAGAGTTGCCGCAAAGTTAAATATTCTATATCTAGAAAATATTGTAATTAAAGTACAGTATATATCTTTAGATATATACTACTGTTTCAAAAGAAATCGAATATTATTATAAGTTTCCTTATAAGAGATTAAACTTCCAAAAATTGTTTAGTCATATACAATATATGGATTCTTATTGCAACTATGGAGTAAATCATCACAGTATATTTTACATGCTGTATAAACATTATCATTGCAATTGGAAAGATTACTAAATTTCAATATTATAATTTTTGTCAGTAGAATATTGCAACTTATAGATATTTGTTTAGTAATTTCAGAGTACATATCTTTTATTTCAAAGTCATTTATACAATTATCTAACATTCTTTTTTTTTTTTTTTTTTAATTTCTCGGTCTACAATAGCCGAGGCGCTGTTGGTGCTCTTTATTATTTATTCATTTTATATAATATTAATCAAATAACCACTTATATACATTTTTAACTTTCTGGGATTTCTGTCTAATATTAAACTTTAGCTGTTCTAATTCCTTTGTTAACCTGTTATCTGCATAACTTCTTATTCTTGTACTCGATAAAATCTCTCCACCCCATCTGGATTTGGTATATAGACACCATATTATGTATATTATTTGAACATGCCACCATCTGGCTGCTTCTCTTCTTTTTTTAACTCTAATGTTTGTGGCCGCTAGTGCCTCTTCTATTGTCTGAGGTGGAGTTGTGTCCTTTGTTGCCGTGATTCTTCTATAGGCCATTTCTCATATATCCTTGCTTACTGTACAGCTTATCGCGAAATGTTCTTTTGTCTGACTACTTTCTGGACACCGTTAGCAGGAGCCATCGTCATTCTGATCGATATGTCAAATTCTGTAGCCTAGTGGGAGGGCGCTATAGTATAATCGCCAGCATATATCTAACTTTTTATTAAGGCACTCCCTTTTACACAGCTATTCAAAGTTTTCCTCTAGGTATGACTCCTCTTTTTTAGAATTATTTGTAGTATTTGTATTGAGTTTATAGACTAGCCATTTCACGGTAAGGTCTTTATCTCCTATTTCATCTACTTTTAAATTGTCCAACTTCCACGGCCAGTTACCAGAGGCGGAGATAGACCCACCTAACTTTTGCCAGGTGTGGACATGGGCCCTCCATTCACTTGGCCAGGCTTTTGTACTTATTAGGGAGGTTTTGAGCACTTGTAATACACTGATGTTTCTCTAGGTCCGAATTCTAGTTGTAATTTTCTCCCTTTCGTGTTTGGCCCAAGTTGTGTTACTTGTACAGAGTTGTTTCCATATCATCACCAGCCTGGCTTTTAGTAAGTTTTGTATGACTGGGGCACCCAGTCCGCCCTCTTCATAGTTTTTCTGAAAGGTGGCATACCGAGGGAGCATTCTAGAGTTTCCTTTGATCCACTTTACTATTAGATTGTTAATTTCTGCACACTGTTTTCTATTTGGTGTAAGGAGGTATGCGGCATACCATATCTTGGAAAGCACTAATGATTTGGCTAGTATAATTTTGCCTCTAAGAGACAGGTTTCTTTCTGCGAGTTTGTTGAGCTGAGAGTCCATCTTCTTTATAGTATCTGGCCATAACCCTTTTCTGGCTTGACCATTTCTGAGCACCTCGAACCCCAAGATTTTGAAGGAGTGTGGTTCTGCGATCTTGTTAAATTGATCCTCGTCTGGTAGAGCTATTCTATCTGCATTAGTTGTTAGAGGGATCAGTTTGGTTTTTCTCTTGTTAACTTTCGTATTAGATGCTTTTTCATAGACCTCAATTGTATTGTTTAATGATTCCCAGTCTGTAAGAGATCCAATTCCAATTAATAAGTTGTCAGCATATGCTGCGAATTTGAGGTGTTGAGTAACTAAAGGAATTCCTCCTAGGTTTTTCTCGAGCTGTGTAAGAAGGGGTTCGAATACCAGAATATACAACAAGGGAGAAAGGGATCTCCCTGTCTTACTCCCCTTCCTACCCTAAATGGTTTGGAAATTTCACCGTTACCGATTATTAGTGCTTCCTGTTTGTTGAAGAGGTTTGTAATTAATTTTACGAAAGGTTTACCAAAGTGTATCTTTTCTAGGGATAGTGTAAGGAATTCATAGTTAACTCGGTCAAAGGCCTTGGCCTGATCTACCAATAATACCCAATGTTGGTCTGTTGATAGTCTTTCGTTTCTTAAAGTAGAGATTATGTTTATCGCAGCATCTGTGATATATTTCCTTTTAATAAATCCTGACTGATGTTCAGGTATAATGCTACTACATATTGCATTTAGTCAGTCTGCTATGATCTTCATGAAAATTTTTGCATCGCTGTTGACCATGGAAATAGGGCGCCAGCTGTTTACCTCAGCTAGATCTTCCCCCTTCTTTGGGATTAGGATGATGAGGCTTTTATTCCAAGAGTTAGGCATAACCCCTTCCCTTAGTACCTTGTTAAAAATGTTTGCTAATAGTAGAACGATAGCTTCGATGCTTAGCTTGTAGAACTCATAGAAGAGCTCGTCTGTGCCAGGTGATTTGTTATTTGGAAGGGCTTTAATAACGTCTGTAATTTCTTCTTCTGAAATTGGGCCCATCAGCTATTCATTCATAGCATTTGTGACTTCTAGGAGATTTCCAGTACATGATTCAGCTGCCAGCTTGTCTATGGGTTCTGGGGTGTAGAGTTTTGTATATATATCTTGTACGTATTGGAGAACCTCTGTCTCTCTAGAGTTCTCTGTAGGTGGTATTTGGATCTTTTTCATACTTTCTTTTTCCTGCCTTTGTTTATACTTGGCAAAAAAGTATCTTGTAGACTTTTCACCTTTTTCAATCCAGCAAGCTTTAGACCTTAGCAACCATTTTTCTGTTAATTTTGAGGTCTTATCTGCTATCAGATTTGAGATTACTGTTATTTGATCTTGTTGTTGAGTTGTTCCATTACCCTTGCTGATATTTCCTTTAGATGTAGTAACTTCTTATGAAGACTCTTAAGCTTTGTTTCTGGAAAACTAGGTTTGCGAAAGGCTCTGATTATAGATTGAATATTTAGCTTGTACACATCCCAGTCTTGTGGTGTCAAAGAGTCCTTCAACTCCTCTAGTACCTCTTGGCGAAGCCTTTTATTTTGGAAGCTTCTAGGATCAAACTTCCAGGTAGTGTTTCTTTTTGTTGTCAGTTTTCTTGATAGTAAACATTCGACTAACAGATGATCCGAGTTTCCAAAGCGGGTAGTAATATTGTTAATAAGGTGTCCATAGTTACTACCTACAAATATATAGTCTATTCACGTGTCCATTGTTCTGCCATTTCTGGTGTTTTGGAAGTAAGTTAGGAAAGAGCTTTCTCTTGCCCATTCATTTGCATTGTGGTAGTTTCTTATTTTTTCTATAAGAAGTTTCCTCGTAGGGTCCCCTTGTGCTGGGGCTAGGCTTACCCTGTTTATATCTGGATGAATATTTGTATTAAAGTCACCAGCTACTATTTCGATACATGTTTCATCTTCTTCGAGAACCCAATTATTGAAGAATCTTTTCCTGTCTTCTTGGTTGGGTGGCGCATATATATTAGTTACTTTGTATTAGCTTCCTTGGTGTTGAAATTTTGCTATCATTATTCTATCTTCGTATAATATAGTTTTATCTGTAAATTTTATCTTGTTATTTTCTGCCAAAATGGCTGTCTTATTAGACCAAAATGAGTCATATTGCCATTGTTCATGTAAAATTTTTTTGTTCTATCGTCTCTTAAGTTTGTTTCTTGTAGCATGATAATATCTATGTTGTAAGATTTGATAAGCGTAAGAGTTTTTTGTCGTTTCCTCATATCAATTAGACCTTTTACGTTGAGTATGGCTATTTTTAGTTCTTTAGTTGTTGATATGATTACATAAAAGGTTGTATTCCCCTTGTTTAGGATTTGGGAAGGAGTCTCCGTCCCCTCTGGATTTCATAAGGAGCATTTTTTGCATTGTCTATTGTGTTCAATATGCTGTCTTTCTTTTTTTAGCTGTTCGTTTTTCTGTATGATACCGGGATAAAGTTATCCTCAACTATATGGTTCATGGTGGCTGCAGGGTTACTCAATAAATCTGCATGCGGGCGTTCCTTATCACTAGTATTGGGATTGCTAGAATGTGAGTCATAGCCTAAAATAGTAATTTCATCTCTGGGCACTATAATGTCTGGGGGAATATTGTCTTTCTCTCTTGTTTCTGTTTTTTTTGTGGGCTCAGGGGTTTCTATTTCTTTTGTGGGTTCGGGGGTTTGTTTTTTCTCATGGGTTTTCACCTTTTCTTTCATTACTACCTTGGAGACTTCTTGTATTTCTGTAGATTCAGTTTCTATATCTGGTGAGAGTATCCTTTTTGAGTCTTCAAAGCCTCCTTCTATAGGGGTAGGAGTGGGACTTTCTGTGCTTTCAGGTTTTTTTATACTAAGCTGTTCTCATTTGTTTCCATAGTATTCTCATGCATATTGTCTTAGTTCAAGTGATTCACGAAATTGGGTGCATTCTTTTTTTATATGGCCCTCCTGGTTGCAGAAATAGCAAACCTTCAGTGCTAATTTCCATTCTGTAGAAACCTTATTGTCCTATACATGTGTGAAATAAGGAAGCCGGGATTCAAGATCCGGGTTATTGGTTGTTTCAAAGATCACTATCCATTGATCGGATGTATATGGGGCTCCCTCGATTAATAGTGATTTGATGGCAGCAATTTTTCTGAAGCTCCCAAAGGCAGCCATCAAAGCACCCGAAACTTCTTCTTTGATGCCTAAAGGTACATTTCTACATCTAACTGGCAAAAAGGATTTTCTGCCATCCGTGGGGATATATCCATAGTATATCCTGTTAAAGATAATGATTCCCTCCGAGGTGTAGTAATTTCTTTTTTCAGCATCTGTGAATGCCACTTCTAAGTGGGTACGAGATCCTTTTGTGGTGTTGTTTAGCAGCACTAATATCATTTTTAACTTGTTCGAACAGTGAAGTTATAATTTTATTGAACGAGGCCTGAATTCCTTGTATATCAAATATGAGAACGTTTTCATTGTTCGATCTAATATTCTGTCTTGGAGAGAAGGATGCATATATGGAGCGTCCTCTCTTTAAGCGTGGGAAAAGGGAGGCCCATGCTTTTTCTTGTCTAGCTGGGCTGGTTTCTTTGGCTTTGCCCTTATCTTTGTCTGACTGTGGTTGGGCAGCACTTTTCTCAAGTAGGATATCCATGTTTTCTGCATAGTCATTATTTAGAACGTGTCTTTGTTTTGATGTTTCTTTGTTTACTTTGGCTATTTCATTAGATATACGTGTTGGTACATGTTCTTCTTCTGTATTCTCCTCCGTTTGCATATTCGTACAGTCTTTTAACACCTGTAAGTCTTGCTCCACCTTGTCATCTCAGGTTAAAGCAGTGCTTATCACATCTTTCTGGCATGCCTTATCATTTTTACTCTGACTTGAGATATTGTGTAGAGGTGTCTTTTGTATTGGTGTCTCTTGATTTTCTTTTTTGACCGAGTCAGTTGTTTTCGCTTTTTTTTTATTTTTCCCCATACTGCCTTCACAAGTGGGTTCTGGAGGTGTTTTTCTGCGTCTTTTTTTCCCTGCAGTGAGGGCAAGAGCCCCTATTTCCTTGTTGTCTCGAGACTTGCTTGTGTGAATATTCTTATGTATTGTGTCTTGTTAAAATTTACTCTTCCTCGACTGATGTGGTCGGGAGA